GTAGAGGAATGAACCTATAACCCCTAATACTTTCTATCACAAAACAAACAAACAAACAAACAAAAAACAGTTTTCATTAGTAATCTTTTAGGCTCAGGTTTTCAGTACTTTTTTTTTATTAGTGGATTTTTACTTAAATCCAGGCACAATACCCTATTATTACCCTCCCCATTTGTGGCAGCACCATGGAGCTATTAGAGGAGATTGTTCATGTCGTACATGATGCTTGTTTTCAGTATCATTCCAAATCATCTAGTTATACTTCAAAATCTCATTTATCTTCTTTTATATTTACTTTTTACACTTATTTGAGGAGCAGAGGAAACAAGTCTTATTTATCTGACATGGAAATGAGTGTTGATAAATGAAATTAAATTTATATTAGTTTTGCATATAAGAAATATTTTTCTGATTTTCAAAATTCTTTTGATGACATGTTAAAGCAAAAGCACCTATATTTTCATAGCAGTTGAATCATATAATACAAGATCAGCACTATGTATACAATTAATTAGAATTAGGTATTTTTAAATAATCCCACATTATTATTTTCCATTTAGCAGTTTTTTTCTGAGAATATTTACACTCCATAAAATGTGGCATTCAAATTGGTCTAAAGTATAGAAATAATCTGAGGGATACATTTTAAGGAAAAAAATAGATAATGGTCTCAAGTGGGTAGTTTTAGATTTAGAAATTATACTAAAAGTGATTTTTTTCATTAACAATTGCAAAATACAAGGAGGTAAGTTTAGGCAAAATATGGGGAAATAAAAGCCAAATTCAAGTTTATGCCTTGGTTGTTTTTCTCTAGGAGAAAAAGAGGCATAACATGAAGTACCTTCTCAAAATGGGTGATTAATAAATCTTGTTCTCTTCCTCTGTTATTCTATTTTTTTTATTTTGAACTTGTAGTCAAGTTAAATCGCAATGTTCCTTTGGGTAGAATACAGGAGAACCAGAGATATCAATGAAGAAGCCAGTGGCTGAATACTTTTCTTAAAAGGAGATAATAATAAGGGAAAGTTGATGACAGGGTTGTGACTCAGGAGCTTTGGTGGAGGGTAAGTGAGACATGTTCCCTATGGAGTCATGAGGAGGTACTCCCAAAATTACATAGTTATGTTAAAAAAGAAAAAGGCAAACCATTGACAACTTTTTTAAATGGGGGAAGTAAAAGGCACATCGTGACATTCTCCTCTATGAACAATGTATCAGGAAGAAATGCTGGTCTTCTTCTGTGTTCATGCACACCCTTGCCTTACTGAATTACTTAATGTCCAAAGATCTCAAAGCCTGTTGATTTAGAAAGCCAGTCAGTTGGCTTAGTATGTGATACAGTGAGATATTAAATACATTTGGAATTTTAAAAATGAACAAACTAGAATGAGAATATCACATGTAAAAGTATTCCAGTGCAGAATTTCAAAAACAATTGCTGGGAGGAAATAAAGCGGTCAAGTGTACATTCATCATGTGAGCTGCTACCTCATGTTCAACAACTATACATGTGAGGTTCTCAAAATTTGTTAAATTCAAAAGAACAAATTTTAAGCTAGCATCAAAATTTTTAGAGTTGTGGAGATTAAGGGTTTGTTCAGTTAGGTGGCTTTTCAGAATCCATCAAAACCCCCAAAACCATAGTTCTTTCTCTTGCAAATTACTTACTGAATTACTTAATGTCATCTATTAAATGGATAGTAATAAGACACATAACATAATATTATTGTGAAGATAAAGTAAGTTAAAATTGTAAAACCATCAAATCAATGCCTGGCACCTAGCAAGAACTCAATAAATATTTTTCCAGTTTTATTATGTTTATTATTAAAATTATCCCTGATTTAAAGAAATTTCTGAACATATCAAATTACTTGGTTTTGATTCAATTATTTGAATGAAAAAAAATCAGAACAACATCAACAGCATATTTTCAGAGGATGCTGAGATAATGAAGTATCACCTGATGTAGATTTGACTATTTTGAATGTCATGTGATTGTCTACATATGTGATGTAAGTTCTTAGAAGGAGATTGCTATGTGTTCTGCAGTCTAAAAATGTAGGGTATGGTTGATGTAAGAATTTAGCAATATAGCAGCAGCTCTGTCTTAAGATGACTATGATTCATTTGTGTAACGACAGTAATTATATTTATAGCTAGAATGCTTAAAACTTTTGAGAAATGTATTTTGTAGAATAAAATAATGTAGAATGGATGAAAACTAAGTATTTCAGAAATGGACCTTTATTCAGTCATCCTTATCAATGAAGTATTATAGTGCTAGTGAAAGCCTTAAATATCACTATTATATTTTTTCAGATTTATTGAGATACAACTGACATATATTTTATTTAAAATATACAACATAATGGCTTGATACCTTTGTTCCAGTTATCCTTATTTAATGCCCTTTATCTCAAAGTTTATATCTATTCTTAGTAAGTTTCAATAAGAAATGTAGTATTGTTAACTTTAGTCATCATGTTGGACATTATATTCCCTGATGTTTTTATCTTTTAACTGGAGTTTGTACTTTTTGACCACATTCACCTATTTGCCTTCCACACATACACTACTTCTGCCAGTTATCAATCTGTTCTCTATTTCTGTAGTTTGTGTTTTTCAACGCCACATATAAATGAGATCATACAGTATTTGTTTTTGTCTGATTTATTTTACTTAACAGCATGCCAATCAAGTTCCATCTGTCTTGTCACAAATGGCAGGATTTCCTTTTTTATGACTAAGTAATACTGGTTTCTATTCCATTAATGTTTTATATCCAGCCAAACTGGATATCGCTTAACCTTTATAAGGCCCAAGATTATATACTATCCAAAGCACAGATATATGGTTAATAAGTATTTCCTAACTATACCATATCTTGTGTTCTTAATTGTCATAAAATTAAACAAACTGGGAAATAAATTACTAACAAACAATAACAATATAAGTTACTATACAGAGTACAAAGACAAGTACAAATGGAGAGAATATATTTGTGATTACTATCCCAACAAAGAACTCATGTCAAGATTGTAAAAAGTATTCTTACAACAGAAAAAGAAGAAAAATTATTGACTAAACACCAAACAGGACTGTTAAGCCTCTGAAAATATGCATAACAACATATTAGTCATTGGGGAAATTTAAATTAAAAGCACAATGACAAAGATTTTTTTAATTAAATAAGATATATCTACATACTGACTAGTGGTTAAAAGAGTGTTAAAATCAAATTTAGCCAAGAATGGAGGATAAATGAGACTTACATATTGCGTATATTGCTGGCATGCAAGCAAAGTAATACAATTAGAAAAATGCAGGCTGTATAAGTAAGGTTAAATATATGCCTACCCTGTTACTCACAATTCCAACATTAGGTAAATTCTCTAGAAATCAGTGTGTAAGCCACCTAAAGAATATTCACCTCAGATTCCTTTCATTAGCCTAATACTGGAAACAACCCACAAGGCATGAAAAGTAACATGAATAAACATTGGCATGAAGGCATGAAGTGAAGTGCAGCCTGAAATAAAAATAAAAGAGAAAAAACTGTCACCTGCAATAACATGGATGAATCACACTGACATAATAAGGAGCAAAAGAATCACGACCAAAGAACAGTAGGATTCCGTTTTTATTAATTCCAAGAAGTAAAACTACTTAGAGTGATAGAAGTCAGAGAAGCTGAAATGTCTGAGAAGTGAAAGTATAAGAGGAAACCTCTGAAAAATGTTCTTATCTGTAGATCTGGGTCATTATAAAGATCACATACTTTGAAAAACTCGAAAGATTGTGTACACTTAAAATTTTTGCACTTTACTATACCTGTGTTATACTTTTAAAAATGCTTTCCACCCAGTGAACAACGTGTGTGAATAATGCTGTCATATTTCACTTGTTTCTTCAAGGCAGTGATTTCAGACCACAGATTCTATTATTGCATCCAGGTCTTTTAGTCCTATTCCATCCTAGTAGGAGAGATTACTTCAGTTTCTATGTCTTAAGCAAAATTACAATTTCAGCTCCAAAAAAAATTTGTATGAAATGGCAAAATTCACATTCCCATTGTTTGTATGCTAACTTGCAAATTTAAAAACAGTTTGCCCCATATCCCTACTATGGTTCAGAAAAGATAGCACCATGTCTAACCTGAACCAGAATCTGCAGATTGGAGTCAAACATGTAGATTTTTCTAATTTAGAATTGACCTGATCCAGAAATAATAATAATAACAATTTAAAAAACAACAACAACACAATTCAAGAAAAGGAAAATGTCTTTCTCCAGTTCAAGACTTCCAGTGGAAATCCAAAAAGCTTTAGAAAGACAAATTCTCTTGTTTATTGTACAGATTGAATTTATCATGATAAATTATGATAACATTAGCTTATTCATGTCACCTTTCTCAACATTGTCCATTGTCTTTATTTTAATGTGAATGGCGTTGAGAAAAGAACATCAACAAGCCTTTGGCCACTGAATCCTTGTTAAAAATTTACAGTCAGTAAGTGTAAGGAAGATTCATTAATACAATAGAGCACAGAAGCAATAATGTCATAACTAATAGGAAGTAAGACAGATTTTTTTCTTCATGAAAAAAAAGGTAAAAGATGAAAGCTCTTGGATATTTTAGTTCTGATTTTATTTAAATAATAATGAAACTACTAAAAAGATGACACTGGTATGTATTTTGTTAATATTTTTGAATGCTTATGATATGCCTATATTACACCGGGCACTGGGAATAGAAAACCTTGACATAAAACTAAAACATAATCTCTGCTTTTGAAGAAATATGCATTATTAGAATCCATAGGTTTTTTGGTTATAAATATAAATTCCAATGTTATACTATATGTATAGTATAAATTAGCTATATATATATATATATATATATATATATACACACACACACATTGAATTTCAGCAATATTTGCTTCCTGAAATGATTAATTTCACTCTTAATATTTGTTTATTCTTGTCACCTTTAGGAGATAGTCAACTTCAACTGCCGGAAGCTAGTGGCCACAATGCCTCTGTTTGCTAATGCAGATCCTAATTTTGTGACTGCCATGCTGAGCAAGTTGAGATTTGAGGTGTTTCAACCTGGAGACTATATCATACGAGAAGGAGCTGTGGGTAAAAAAATGTATTTTATTCAACATGGCGTTGCTGGTGTCATCACAAAATCCAGCAAAGAAATGAAGCTGACAGATGGCTCCTACTTTGGAGGTCAGTGGGAAAATAAAAATGTAGCTAAGATGAAATCTAAGTTGCTTAAGATATGTTTATTACAAGTTTAGAGATGTCAGAATGTTGATGTGTTGGTTTGAATATGGGCTAATATTTGAACACTGACAAAGGTGTCAAAAAGTGAGTTTTTGCACTTCAGTGTCATATGTCCAATTTGTATGTATTTACTTCTATATATTTTATTGGTCTGCTATCTTCTAGACTTTGTTCTTATACAAAAGAAACAGATCCTCCCCACTACAATTTAACATGGCCATGGGAGAAGAGGGGGACAGAGAAAGTGAGCAGGTTCTGCTTGGATGTGTACCCACAATTGACAGCATTGTTGCTTTCTACATCTATGGCCAAGGGCTTAGTTACTAGGTCCCTCTAGGTATCTTGGGAATGATGGTTGCTAGTTGAGTAGCCAGTTAGTCAGAAATCTCCAGAGATACAGAATGTTATGCATCTACCCAAATGGAGTTTTTTTAATGGAAATTTGTCTTTTCAAATATGGAGACTGCCAGGTCCTATCTGCCATATACAAACTGAAGACCTAGGAAAGCTGGTGCTGTTAATTCACCCTTACTCAAAAAGCCTGTGAACTGAGGGAGGAGGAGTGATGATTCAAATCCCAGTCTAAAGGCAGAAGATGAAATGTTAGCTCAAGGAGCAAGACTGATGGTGAAGATGAAGTCCCTGAGTCTGATCCCATAACTTAGGTCAGATGAATGATGAGGCTATAAGTTTGGTTCCTGCAGAAGTAAGGGTCTTGCTTGTAGATCAAGGGGTTTCTGGAGCTCTTAATTCCTCCTGAGGAGTAGTTTGTACTTCTAATTTTAGATTTTAAATTTCTTGGAGAAATTAAACAATTTCACCAAGATCGTGTACTTGAAAAAGGACAAAAATAAGCTTTCAACCTTAACAATGAAGTCAAATCTAAAGTCTGTATTTATCCTCTGTTCCTCCTAAAAGAGGGCATAATGGGCCCTCCGTAGTGGCACAGTGGGTTGAAGCACAGCACTAGGAAGCTAGCCGCAGCTGCTTCAGCATGAGTTCAATCCCCCACCAGGGAGGTGACCCACACAGCATGGCAGACTTCTCCTATCTCACCCCTGCACCCCTCAGCAGTGTGCCTCATCAATCTGCCTGTTCTGCTCCCCACTCTGTCTCTGGTGAATCCTCTCACTGCTTGTAGCCAGTTCTGTATGCATAAATAAAAAATCTTAAAAAAAAAAAAGAGAGAACATAATGGCTTCTCTAGGATGTAAATTTTAAATATTAGCAAAGCCATAGCTTTGTGTATGTGTGTGTATTCTCCATCGTTTTCATTTTGTACAATATTGATTTCTCCTGTGCTATCTGTGGCCCTTTTAGATGATCATTTGTTAAAGCTATTTAATTTTTTTTTCATCTGTTCTGTGTGACCCTCCTATTAAAGGCAATCACATCATTAACATATTATAAACTGAAAAAGGTAAAATAACATTAGTATACCTCATTAAAATTACAAATAATATATCGATTTCAGAAGTTTGCCATTTTAAAGAAAAGCTTGCTTTTCTAATCAGTAGGTTTCACTGTTAACTTCTCTATCTACTCATCCCCTTAATTTGTCTTTCCACATCAAAGTGTTCAATTGTGTCAGTCACTTAGGTTTCTTTACCAGAAATTTTTTCTTATGGTATAGTATAGTAATGCAAAACAAGCCTGTCGGGAGGAAAATACTCCTATGGTTGTGGTCATTATAAAATACTTGGTATTAAATGCTGCTTAATCTAGCCTAACATTTTCCAACCTCAAGAAGACTACAGGTATTTCATATCACTAATGTGCATTTTTAAAATTAGTATGCCAAAAATGTATCTAGTCAGATAACTAACAATCTAGTATTTTTAAATTTAAAGCCACAGATGTGGAAAACCACAGGCAACCCCTACCATGGGGACTATTCATTATTTTAAGAAGACTGAAGCATCTGTTGATCTGTAATTTACTTAGTTTTCACCACCTCTAGTACATTAAATATTTCTAAAAGTTCATGCTGATTTTATAAAAGTTCTGAGGAATCTGTTTATCATAAATTTACAACTTTGTTATTTTATTTATGAGGAGAAGGAGACAGCAGAAGGAAAAAAATAATCAAGTGTTTTTTTTTTTTTCCTTCACTCATTGCTCCCAGGATAATTGACTGTTTCAGTAATGATAAGACAACTCCAACAGATTTGTTTTCCATCTCCTAACACCTATAAGTACCAGATAATATACAACTGCAGTTGAAGATTTGCTAAGTCATTGGATGAGAGATATTAATCCCCATTGGTATCCTTACCTCACAATTCTGTGATTTTATAGTCAAGTATAGATGCATCTTGACATAATAAAGAATTAAATGCGAATGTCTGAAAAATGTATAAAAATCAAGATGAACATTAAAACAATCTGAAGTCATCTTTCTCCCTTTCCTAAAGCAGAAAAGGAGGGAGAGGCAAAAAATAAAAGTGGAAGAAGAAAGTTAAAAGGTCCTTGTTATAATTCTGAGTCCTCTTGAGTTCCTGAGGTTGTTCACAAGAGACTATCTTTGGAAGTGTTTACAACTAAAAGACAGGCCACATATAGGATATAGATCTCTGATAAGAGCAGTATAAGAGAAAACCATCTCCCTGATTGATACGTTCTTCAAGGTTTGTGCTTAGAGAAAATCTGCATTAGCTATTTGCGAACCCCTTAATTAATTTCAAGCTCACATTTCCCACACCATCCCTTTCTTCCAAGATCCTAGAAAAGGAGGCTTCCTATACTAGTGTGCTTTCACCTGTTTCTCAGATAATCTTCTTATTCAGATGCTCCTCTAAATCATGTCCCTTGTGTTCCATGTGAAAAGACATTGAAGAAGTTATAGGACATGATATCAGAGGTTCTGTGAAGTAAAAAACTGTTAAAAGTAGAATATACAATACATATAGAATCCACTGACTGGAAATCCAAGTGATGGTGTGAATAAAGGTTTTGGAATTGGTTAAGTTATTGATGATAATGAAGTCTAGAATGTGACCATTGAAATAAATAATTTTATGAGAATTTTAATATGAATGAATATTAAGTGAGATAATAGATTATTGCAGTCAATGTTCTTAATATAAACATGCTATAGAAATGATGATTCTGTGTGACACTATTATTATAACATCACCAAGGATTCTGGTAGATATTCTTATCTGTATTTCAATAGTTATACTACATTTTCTGTACCTTTGAGATTTTTTTAAATTGTTATTTACACTGTTTTCCTAATTGTCTCTCCATCTCTAACTTTTCTTTGTGATTCACTTGAATTGTTTATAGAAAAGATGTATGGAAGCTTATGCAGCTAAAATACTCCTAGACTTACAGAGGATATTCTTTTTGATTTGTGTCCTCATCCTTATCACAGTCCCTGATGTGTCATTTTTATGAATTAAATTTTTGTAGTATTAAATTTTATTGAAGCCATCTTTAATATTTTATATTAAGTCAGTTATCAAACTCACATCTAGTAAACGACCTATTTGTTTTTAAATTTTCACATAAAACTGTAATATCTGCTCTTCTTTATTTTCTCCTATAAGTTCTTATTAAAAAAATATTTATTTATTTATGCATAGAAGAACTGGGGTACAAGCTAGAGGTACAGGAGGTAATAAGGGAGCAGAACAGGCAGATCAACTGAAATACACTGCTGAAGGGAGCAGTGGATGAGACAGGAGAGGTCTGCTGTGCCCTGTGGGTCACCACCCTGACTGGGTATAGAACTATTGCTGCAGTGGCTTTGAATAGCTTCATCATGCTACAACTTAACCTCTTGCACCATCAGGAAGGCCCTCTCCTATAAATTCTTAACAGAGTTATAAATGTGAAATAAATCATTGGACTTAGTCTTTTGGTAAAAACTTATTTAGTAATGGATATGTAGCAAAATTCCTTTGAAGTTAATTATTTCACTGCTCTTGTTTTTTGCTCTCCAACCTCACATTTGGCTTACCACAACTTCAATCCAACATTGCTAAGATCTTCTTGCCCTACTTTGGGAAATCTGTTCATCCTCCCTCACAACTGAGTGTGATGAATGAACTAACATTAGTAAAGTACTTTGAGTTCTCTGTATACAGGTTGTACAAACTATTATTTTGTTGTGATGCTTTCTTTAAGGACCATTGTCATCTGCCATAGCATTTGTGGAGTCTAGGAGGGAAAATGAGAGAACTGTGTCTGAGTAGGCTCACTCAAAGTGTGCAAGGACAGTACATCTCTGTAAAGAGCTGGCGTTCTAGTTTTATTTTTGAGGTAATATTAGTTTACAAATCCTCTACAATTCAGTGGCATGGGATCAACATCCTCAGACACAAGTTGCCATAGCACACCCACCCCCCAACAGTGTGTGGTGAGTTCTCCACCATAGTCCCTTGTGCTCCTTCATCACCGTGTCCCGCCCCTTATATCCAGTAGCCTCAATTACACAGTGAAATTCCAATGGTTTGTTATTAAACACTTTTATCTGACCATTGTGTTATTTTTCTATATACTACATGTAAGTGAAATCATATGGTTGTTATTTTTCTCTTTTGATTTATTTTGCTTGTCACTTCTCCTGCCAGTTCCATCCAAGTTATTGCAGATGGCAAGTTTATTTATTCATTTCTGATAGTTTAGTAGTATTCCATTGTGTATGCATTGCACATCTTTCTGAGCCATTCCTTTGTTTTTGCATACTTAAATTGCTGCTATGACTTTGCTACTACAAATAGAATTATAATGAGCATACATTCTTTTGAATCACTGTTTTTATATTGATTGGGGAAATATCAAGGAATGGAATTGTTAGATCATACAGTAGATCTATTTTTAACATTTTGAGAAACTGACATATCATTGACCAGTAGGGATTGGACCAGTCTCTGTTCCCATCAATTGTTGTACAAAAGTTCCTTTTCTCTACATCCTCACCAGCATTTGGTATTCCT